GTGTAATTACCTAAGTGTAATTACCTAAGTGTAGTTACAGGATGAGAGCTACGCTCGTGGTGTCCCGTCTTCCCAGCACTCTTTGTCATATAACGCTTTGAAACTACTGACGGTCTTGGCCTCCACCACCTTCTCACTTAACTTGTTCCAACCGTCTACCACTCTATTTGCGAAGGTGAATTTTCTTATATTTCTTCGGCATCTGTGTTTAGCTAGTTTAAATCTATGGCCTCTTGTTCTTGAAGTTCCAGGTCTCAGGAAGTCTTCCCTGTCGATTTTATCAATTCCTGTTACTATTTTGTACGTAGTGATCATATCACCTCTTTTTCTTCTGTCTTCTAGTTTTGGCATATTTAATGCTTCTAACCTCTCCTCGTAGCTCTTGCCCTTCAGTTCTGGGAGCCACTTAGTAGCATGTCTTTGCACCTTTTCCAGTTTGTTGATGTGCTTCTTAAGATATGGGCACCACACAACAGCTGCATATTCTAGCTTTGGCCTAACAAAAGTCATGAACAACTTCTTTAGTATATCGCCATCCATGTATTTAAATGCAATTCTGAAGTTAGAAAGCATTGCATAGGCTCCTTGCACAATATTCTTAATGTGGTCCTCAGGTGATAGTTTTCTATCTAGAACCACTCCTAGATCTCTTTCTTTATCAGAATTCTTTAAAGATTTCTCACATAATATATAGGTTGTGTGGGGTCTATGTTCTCCTATTCCACATTCCATAACATGACATTTATTAACATTAAATTCCATTTGCCAAGTGGTGCTCCATATACTTATTTTGTCCAGGTCTTCTTGAAGGGCATGACAATCATCTAAATTTCTTATCCTTCCTATTATCTTAGCATCATCAGCAAACATGTTCATATAATTCTGTATACCAACTGGTAGATCATTTATGTACACAATAAACATCACTGGTGCAAGAACTGAACCCTGTGGTACTCCACTTGTGACATTTCTCCATTCCGATACATTGCCTCTGATTACTGCCCTCATTTTTCTATCAGTCAGAAAATTTTTCATCCATGATAGAAGCTTACCTGTCACCCCTCCAATATTTTCCAGTTTCCAGAACAACCTCTTATGTGGAACTCTGTCGAAAGCCTTTTTTAGGTCCAGATAGATGCAGTCAACCCAGCCATCTCTTTCCTGTAATATCTCTGTGGCCCGATCATAGAAACTGAGTAAATTCGATACACAGGATCTTCCTGATCGAAAACCATACTGTCTGTCTGATATTATATCATTTCTCTCCAGGTGTTCTACCCATTTAGTTTTGATTAGCTTTTCCAATACTTTCACTATTACACTTGTCAATGATACAGGTCTATAATTGAGGGGGTCTTCCCTGCTGCCACTTTTGTAGATTGGAACTATGTTAGCCTGTTTCCACACGTCTGCTACGATTCCTGTACACAGGGATGCCTGAAAGATCAGGTGAAGTGGAATGCTGAGCTCAGATGCACATTCTCTCAGAACCCATGGTGAAACGCCATCTGGGCCAGCTGCTTTGTTCCTCCCGAGCTCCTTTAGCATATTTTCCACTTCATCTCTAGACACCTCTATCCGCTCTATGTTGTTCTCTGGAATTCTTATTGTGTCTGGTTCTCTGAAGATTTCATTTTGTACAAACACACTTTGGAACTTTTCATTTAATGTTTCACACATTTCCTTTTCATTTTCCGTGAATCTGTTTCCCATTTCCAACCTCTGGATATTATCCTTTACCTGCAATTTGTTGTTTATGAATTTGTAGAATAGGCCCGGTTCTGTTTTACATTTATCTGCTATCCCTTTTTCAAAATTTCTTTCTGCCTCTCTCCTTACTGCTGTATAATTGTTTCTCGCATCTTTGTATCGCTGGTATGTTTGGGGGTTTGGCCTCTTCCTATACTGATTCCATTTTTGTGTCTTTTGGTCTCTTGCCCTCTCACAATTTCTGTCGAACCAATCCTGTTTTCTGGTCCTGCATCTCTGTTTTGGTATAAATTTTTTTGTGCCTTTATCATATATTTCACAAAACTTGCCATACATCTCATTCACTTCCTTGCCTAGCATCAAGTCTGTCCAATTATACTCACTAAAAAAATTTCTAAGGTCACCATAATGTCCTCTCCTGAAGTCTGGTTTTTCAACTGCTTCAACCTCCTTATTTTCTTCCAGCTTATAACGCATTGCATACTTTATTCCCAAAAAGACATGGTCACTTTTACCCAAGGGAGGAAGGTACTGAATGTCAAATATCTCTTCCTCCTTCCTGGTAAATATCAAATCTAGCATGGAGGGAACGTCCCCTTCCCTCATCCTCGTAGCTTGTTTAACATGTTGATACAAGAATGTTTCCAGGATGAGGTCTACAAATTTACAGGTCCAAAAATCTTCTGTTTTAGCTTCATATGCTTCCCAGTCTATGGATTTCAAGTTGAAGTCACCGACTATCAACAGTCGTGATCTATCGTTATCCGCTCTCGCTATAATCTCTCTCATTATTGTTATAAGACCTTCACGTTTACTATCTAGCTCCTCCTTTGACCATGTGCTGCTTGGCGGTGGACTATATGCATTTATCATCATTAGTTTATCATCCTCATAGCAGATCTCTAGTGTTATTATGTCAACTTCTTGTGGATTGGCAGTCATTATTTCCTTCACCTTTAGGTGTTCTTTTACCAGCACAGCAACGCCACCGCCTTTCCTAATTTTTCTGTCCCGTCTCCAAATTGAGTAGCCCCTTGGGAATATGACCTCATTTAAAATTACATCTTCAAGTTTTGTCTCCGTGAGTGCAACAATGTCTGGTGTCTGCAGCTGTATTACATCACTTAACTCCAGTATCTTCGATCTCACTCCATCTATGTTGGTGTATGCAATCTTCAGGAACTTGTTCCCCCTCTCCTTATTCTTCACTCCCCCTCTCTCTATTGATTTTGTTGGTTTGCCTTTATGTACCACTTTACTGGTTTGCCTACCCCTATCACTTTGTAGAAAAAAGAATTTATTTCTTCTTCATTCCTGCTCTCATTTAACTGTTTTGCCTCGGCGAGGTTCAGTTTCAGCTTCTCTCTATCTTCTTTTGAAAGATCTCGTCTTAACGACCACCCTTTCCCATCCTCATCCCTTTGCAATTTTCTAGCATTCCTTAGTACTTCTTCCATCTGTTTGGCACCGTTTAGGGTGATCCTCAAAGGTCGATCTTTCCCTTTTACGTACCTGCCTATTCTCCTGTAGTCGCACACATTCTCTCTGTTTGTAAGACCTTCCACGAGGCCAACAATTTTATCTACTACTTTAGCTTCTTCTACAGCTCTTTCTGACCTAGATGTTATCGCCTTTTCTTTGCAGCCAAAAATGATCAGGGACTTACTCCGATCAACTGTGTTTTGCACCAACTTCGGGTTAGATGCCAATTCTTTCCTCACTTCTAGCCTAATGTTTGTTTTATCTTGGTTGCTGCAGTGTTTGACTTCCTTTACTGCTTCTTCTATTTTTTCCTTCTCCTTGGCCACTTGTGCATAAGTGAGTTGCATATCTTTCTTGCACTGTTCTATTCCCTGTGTAACTTCCTCCATCTGTGCTGACAAAAGCTGTTTCTCCTGTTGAATTTCCTTGCCTAACCTATTGTAGTCATTTATGTTTAAATTTACTTTAACTTCTTCCAAAGCTATTTTTAAGAGTTTATTTTCTTCTTCCATGGCTTTGCAATTTGTTTCCAATTGATTCTTATCCTTGCGCAAGTCTTTCACTAAACCCTCAAGACATAAAACTTTGCTATTCAAATGGTCATTACTTTCTTTCAATTTACTAATTATTTCTACATGAGAGTTCACTATAGTATCTAAATTTACCAACTTGTTATGTAGACTACTAATATCAATGCTTTCTTCATTGAATCCCTCAAAATCAAGCTCTGTTTTGTTTTTCCCCTTGCCAGTGGCCATCTTGAATGTTCTTCTCTGCACTGTAAACACTAGGGCAACTTTTTCTCATCCGATTCTTCACTTCCCTTAGCACTTTCCTGTTATCTCACCTATTTTTCAAGAGCACTATACCTTTATGTTCTGTGGGACACCACTCACTACCATCAACCTGTACTACAATACTTAGGATTGTTGAAATATGCTGGAGCTCCTCTGCTGCAAGTGTTGACCCTAGGGGTGTCACCTTTTTTCACACACACACACCTGTGTGTGTGTGTGTGTGTGTGTGTGTGTGTGTGTGTGTGTGTGTGTGTGTGTGTGTGTGTGTGTGTGTGTGTGTGTGTGTGTGTGTGTGTGTGTGGTCTGTACCTACAGACACCAATCAGATGATACAATTATCAATATATTACAAAAACAAGAAGAGCGCCAACCTACTTATGAAGAGCTCTCCAGACACCAAACAGAACACCTTAAGAAAGATCAACGTCGTCTATGCCTTCACATGCCCACTTGGGGACTGTCAGCCCCAAAGATTTCAATATATAGGCAAGACCACAATGTCTCTCTAGGTGATTAACAATGAACAAGCAACAGGGCTCCATCAAGGAGCATATAATCTCCTCACACAACCAGACCATCACCAGGGACATCTTAACAAGCAACAGTGAAATAATCGACAGTTATAACGACAACAGAAGACTGGACATCAGCGAGGCGCTACACATAAAGAAGTCAAGACCACCTGTCAACAGTCAGTTAACACATAATTACATCCTACCCACTTCAAGACCCCGAGCCAACACAGAGACAGGATCCAATGATCCTGCCTTAGAAACACAAGCTGCTCATGTTGATGCATGTAATATCCTATCAATATCCCCTATGTTATGCCATTCACTTGCTCTGTACCACTTCACCCAAAGAGAATATAAGTCTGTGCAAAAGCATGGTAAACTTACGGGCTCACTATAGCCCGTGCTACATGGACACTTCGTTCTGAGTAGCTAAATCTAAAACAACAACAGCATGGTAAATCGACTCGGACGGCACCGCTCCTGTGCCAGGTAAGTTTCGGGCTCACCATAGCCCGTGCTCCTTGGAACATTTTGTTCCCAGTAGCTGAATCTTAAAACATGGTTTTAGTCTTACGGGCTATTCATGCCCGTGCCACCTCTTGGGTGGCTTAATCTTTATCAATCAATCATGGTAAATTAGTCTTTGAGAATGTAAGGCGTGACCTTGTAAAATACATCCCCCAGGCGTCACACGAAAATTAAACGTGCGAAAATGAACTTTTGGAGAGTTAATTTTTCAACTTCCCCTGACAGTGAGGAAAAGCATAATTAATATTGAAAGGATTCGTGTTAGAATCATTAATATTATTACCCTTTCGGTCATATTTAATAACATATGTTTGCAGGAAAGACTGCTTCCCATATATATAATATACATATACATATACATATACATACACATACACATACACATACACACACTAGCTGTACCCGGCGCCTGGCGTTGCTGTGGCTCATCAACCTTGCCCTGTCTCCCAGTCCTCCCCACCATTATTAACAATGACAAAAATAAAACACAAACTATACTCACTTAATGAACGGTATGGTAAACAACGCAGCTCAATTCCAACGAAATGTCACACAAAATAATTTAATCAAAATGAATATAAATCGAAATCTATGAAAATTCAATTTGTCAATGCAATCGGAAACATTGAAATGTAATCATAACATATTTAGTATTGCGTGTGATGCTCTTGTGTGCAACAGATGGCTCTGTTTAAAAAAAGTTTTTAGCTGCCACAGGTGTGGCATCTATATAGTAGGCCTATAAAAACACGCACATATTCGAATGGATCATTATCTCAAAATTTCAAAGTAAATGGTGAAGCAATTTCGGAGATTCTAGCGTGTGTTGCTCTTACGTCCAACAGATGGCGCTGTTTAAAAAAAAAAAAAATGTTTTTTCCTGCCACAAGCGAGGATGTATATAGTAGGTATATAAAAACTCGCGCCCATTCGAATGCAACGTTGTGTCTAAGTTTCAAAGAAATCGGTAAAGAGGTTTCGAAGATTTCCCTCGCATGAAAAACAAAGCTTAAAAAAATAAAAACATGTTTTTCCCCGTCACAGACGTGACATCTATTTGGGAGCCGGTCGGCCGAGCGGACAGCACGCTGGACTTGTGATCCTGTGGTCCTGGGTTCGATCCCAGGCGCCGGCGAGAAACAATGGGCAGAGTTTCTTTCACCCTATGCCCCTGTTACCTAGCAGTAAAATAGGTACCTGGGTGTTAGTCAGCTGTCACGGGCTGCTTCCTGGAGGTGGAGGCCTGGTCGAGGACCGGGCCGCGGGGACACTAAAGCCCCGAAATCATCTCAAGATAACCTCAAGATAGTACGTATATAAAAACCTGCTCGGATGCGAATGAAACGTTGTGTGAAAATTTGAAACCAATCTGTGAAGAACTTTCGGAGATTAGCGGTTATGCACAAACAAACATTTACATTTTTATTTATATAGATATATAGATATGAGAGAGAGAGAGACAGACAGACAGAGAGAGAGAGAGACAGACAGACAGAGACAGACAGACAGAGACAGACAGACAGACAGAGAGACAGACAGACAGACAGAGACAGACAGACAGACAGAGAGACAGACAGACAGACAGAGACAGACAGACAGACAGAGAGACAGACAGACAGACACAGACAGACACAGACAGAGACAGACAGACAGACAGACAGACAGAGACAAACAGACAGACAGACAGAGACAAACAGACAGACAGACAGACAGAGTGACAGAGATAGAGAGGGAAGGGGGGAAGGAATGTAACATCAAAATCTTAACCTTCACAACAATCGGATTCATCTCCACGTTTCACAATTAAATTGGATCTCTGGCGCTTGAGGACAGACAGGCGCTAATTTGTTGACACTTATCTTCGCTAGCCCTCTTGATGGCAACACAAGACACAACATTTTATATTTGTTATATTATTCCGAGAGTATAAAGGCACTTAAAACAATATACATTAAGATTGTTTTTATTCCCTTGCAAAAAATGTGATATTCTAGTGTTCCCCTTGGCTCTATTTTCTTAAGGGTTTGCTTGCTCTTGACTGACTCGCACTAACGTCAATGATATAGTGGTGATATAGAGACAATGTGGGCACTTCCAACTTGGGATCATCATCAACAATGGGATCCTCGCGCCAGAATACCTCACAATACAAACAATATTTTGGAATATCATTAAAACCTATAAATATATTGCACAAAAATATATAAAACTTTTACCCCACAAAAGGAGATCTACAAGGCTAAAAATATCCTCACTGCCGTGATTAGACGCGAGTCCAACGTTAGGCGACGACTGTGTTCCTTACTGCCACGTTTTCTACCAAGGTCAAGTTATCCACTCACGGAGCAGGGACCTCAAGCGCATCTGGATTCACCACCACGGACAGGTAGGTATTTATCCACCACATGTGGACAAATCTGCCTCATTTGACAAGATTTTTATTGACTAGTTTCTTTATTCACGACCACCTGGCGATGACATGGATATGTTAAAAAAAAATCCTCAGTAAATTTTAAACAGCACGTACCAAGGATTGTACTTTAATGACTCCGCCAACCGTACGCGTTAAAAATATGGATCTCAAGGCAGAGCATTTGCAAAATATAATTCAAATCAAATCTCCATTCACTTCCTCGTTCAGTCCCCTGCCTCTCTCTCTCGCTCTTGTGCCTGATCGCTTTCTCTACCATTCCTGACATTCCTCGCTCAATCTGTAGTTTCTTGCCTGAAAGCTCCTTTCTCTCTCTCTCAGTACCGAGCATAACATGCACTAAAGAGAGAGAGAGGTCGAGAGAGAGGGAGAGGAGAGAGAGTACAGGGCGTGTAGCAAGTACAGGTATTATGAGGAGTACAATTATTTTGTTGGCAAATGTGTACAAGCTGGTGTAATTAATACAAAAAAAAAATAACGGTAATAATAGTGAATACATCAGGTAAAGAAATAAATACAAGAGGTACAACAAATAAAACAAACACACTAAGAAAACAGAACATAACTCATCCATAAAACAAATATAACAATATAAAAAACAAACGAGTTGTAATAACGATGCAAATTCTAACGTTAAAAGTGAACTATAATGTATTTACACCTCTCTTTGAAACCATTTTATACACATTAAAATACAAAAATGTCTGAAACGTACAGCAGGTTCTGAAACCTGAACAGTCATGATCATGACGTTATTATGACGTCACCTCGAGCACACCATACAAAACTGTATATCATTATATTTGTTTATGAAGTAGCGATGACGTTTGAGTTGCACACTTTCCTCAGGTCTTGAACCCTACTCCTTAAGTGCAGAAGTTCGTACGGTTGCATGCATACTAGAGATTACGGCGAGAAACCCAACATCAATGGAAGGTCGGTATAAATTCTGCAGCAGGTACCTGAGGCTGTACGGGCTCACCATAGCCCGTGCTACTTGGAAGTTGTTCCGAGGAGCTGAATCTATAACAACAACAACAACCTGAGGCCGATATCATTTAAGGTAATTGAATGATATCGCCACCACCACCAGCGACTTAAAAGGGGTTAAAATTGGTTACCAGGGTCGATCACCTTGTTACCTTGCGTTGGTTCCAAGGATCAATGTCCACGCGGCCCGGTCTGTCCAGGCCTGCTGGTCTTGAGGTTATCTTCAGGTTATCTCGAGATGATTTCGGGCCTTTAGTGTCCCCGCGGCCCGGTCCTCGACCAGGCCTCCACCCCCAGAAAGCAGCCCGTGACAGCTGACTAACTCCCAGGTACCTATTTACTGCTAGGTAACAGGGGCATTCAGGGTCAAAGAAACTTTGCCCATTTGTTTCTGCCTCGTGCGGGAATCGAACCCGCGCCACAGAATTACGAGTCCTGCGCGCTATCCACCAGGCTACGAGGCCCCTTCAACTAGAGGTCCCCGTAATTAGAGGTCAACCAAGACCACTAATTACACAGTGATCCTTTATACTAGTTTGGACTAGTTGACATGCAAAGGAGTATTCAAGACATCACTAAAACAACTAAAGATATCTTGTGAGAACTACGAGGTGCATAATAACTAGGTTGAGTTATTATGCACCATTCGATAACGATCTACGAAATGTCGTGTCATTTAATAGTCTTATCTAACAAGTGCATTCACCCTGAATAATGTCATTAACAATACTCTGAGTTGCTAAGTGCTGAGTGCTAATCTAAAACTGTACCTAACTTGGTGCAGGGGCTCGTAAATCACCTCAAGATTACATATATACTTAAATCATGTATTACTTTGATGATACAATGATAATATACAAATATTTACAGGGAGCAACAGAGCGTCGTATAATGAAACGCTCGGCACCTTAGCGTTCCTATCATTGTTATTATTTCAGCAATATTAGATGTGCAAATATAAACAAAAATAGAAAACGTGACTAAGGTTACGGGCATGAAGACAACCGATCCCTCGGCGTCGCTACACAACGTCTCTTTAGGGTTTATTTCCCCGTCGAATGCTATTGTGATTTTTTTTTATACTTGCCTAAAGAAACTGAGAATAAATATATCTAAAATAAACATCTAAATATATACATGCATTATGGTCGTTTATCCCGCGTCATTTAAAATTTAGCTTATAAGTTTTTTTATGTATCGTGAGATGGCAGATGTTCGTTTCTTAAAGGAACGCACACTTGCGAGAATAAAAACATGATCGATCTCCCTGGCTTCCGTTGGGATCACAAGCTGTGCTTCCTAAACTTCAAAAGGAGCGTTCCCTTGACAGATTAAATATTTATGAGCTCGTACAATATGGCAATGAAGAAAATATTTTTGTCGATGAGGAAAATTACAACTATAATGGGCTAGGCTGCGGGCACCGGTTCTTTCTTCATAATCTTCTTACCTTGCGTTGATTACCTTGTGATGATTTCAGGGATCAGCGTCCCCACGGCCCGGTCTCTGACCAGCCCTCCTTAGTTCTTCATAATTTTTTAATATTTTTTGTCACTGATCGTCATTCACGATCATCTTGTTTATTTATTTATTTATATATATACAAGAAGGTACATTGGGTTTGTGAGAATACATTGGATAGTACAGTATTTACATTCTTGTAAAGCCACTAGTAGGCGCAGCGTTTCGGGCATTGTTAATGCAACCGCTCAATAAAATCATGTTTCACAATCATCCTGTGCATAATATCACCATCCACTATGAACATGTCACACTCACTAGCCGTGCGCTATCATCCTGTCGTTGATAATCACAATGGCTGACTATCATCCTATGTCACTATCATTCCAGTTCATTATCACTCTGAAGCATTAATATAATATTTTGCTATTTTCCATTTTGTTATGTGGTAGTGTCCAAAGCAATGGCAAGTTGCCAGGGGCCAAATTCACGAAAGCACTTACGCAAACACTTACGAACCTGTACATCTTTTGTCAATCTTTGGCGGCTTTGTTTCCAATTATTAAACAGTTAATGAGCTCCGAAGCACCAGGAGGCTGTTTATAACAATAACAACAGTTGAATGGGAAGTTTTCACGATTGATTGATGATTGATAAAAATTAAGCCACCCAAGAGGTGGCACGGGCATGAATAGCCCGTAAGTGGTGGCCCTTTTGAGCCATTACCAATATCAAGAGCTGATACTGGAGATCTGTGGAGGTGCGACTGCACCCTGCGTGACGGGAGATGTCTCCCGTGGAATGTGTCCAAAGTTTTCATGCTTGTAAACGGATTAATAAATGTAACCAAAGCCGTCAAAGATTGAGGAAAGGTGTACACGTTCGTAAGTGCTTTCGTGAATATAGCCCCAGGTCAGTAATGATACGGGTACCATTCACGGAACAACCCTTTCATGGGGGTTGGGTTTAACGACCGTTGACCGAGACAAGGCAAGACGCCTCATTTACTTGCGAGCCGGTAGGTTTAAACTAACTGGTGGTTCAACCCGTTCTCTTCATTTGCCACAGCGTTCAAAATACAGATTCCTAACCTAATCAGAAAGCCATGAACTCACGCAACCCACCTAACCTAGTCTACCAATGCATAGAAAAAGCGTATATCCGAGTCTACTTTTTAGCGTAGCAACTGAGACATTGGAGGTGACGGCCGGTTATACTTCGGGTACCTGTACCTGGTACAGGTACTTGACTTAAATTGAAGCAATACTACCTGTTCAGGTGTCATCAACCATTGGGCCCCCTTCAGTTACAGCGACAGTAACCACAACGTCACACATCAACGTTACTCACCTATCACAGTCATTAGGATTCATTACCGGGTGATGAAGTCACTGCTAATCCCGGTTCACCTTCATTCATGAACTGGATTTCTCTCCCTAACTCATCATTCTGTCCGGTTTACTCACCTGCCCCCACCTAGCACAAGCCTGTACTACTACACCACATCGTCCCGTCCCCAACAACCCCCCTCCCCGCCCCCCAACCACTACCAATAATCTTCACCCATCCCCTCCACCCTCCCTCCACTCAGCCACCTCCACCTCCACCCTCCTCCAGTCAGCCACCTCCACCCTCCCTCCACTCCCACCTGCACCCCCCTCCACTCAGCCCCTGCACCCCCCCTCCACTCAGCCACCTGCACCCCCCCTCCACTCGCCCACCTCCACCCCCGCCAATCTTTCACCCGACCACCACTTAACAGTTTTTCATCGCCAACACACTATTGACCTTCCCCAACATAATATCCAATGTGGGGGTCGAGCGAGTCATAGAAATCAGGTTTGATTTTTGTTTTTCCCCTCTCAGTAAATCTTTCCCGGCCGGTGAGAACACACGGCCAACATCCATGCCCAGTGTTGCTGGTACAAGCTGTTATGTTGTTAATAGGCGCAGATAACAACCCTTCCTCCTAATAGAGCGTCGTATTTTGACGTATACTTTACCCAAGTACAATTTATGTACTAGAAATGATAGCGGCTCGCGAAATTTGCACACTATCCCGTTTTCTGTTTTGGGTCCTCTTGGAAGTTTAAATAAAGGCACTTTAGTACCGGAGTTTGTCAACACTGGGACACCTTAGAAGGACGGGCTGCAGGATACCTCGCTCCCTTAAACTCACCAACATTTGTGGTTAGTTTAGGTGTCGCGCCTCACAGTATAGTGTTGTATATGTGACATTATGTAGTGGTGTGGGCAGTGTCGCCTGGCAACTACACTTCACTATCACCAAGTTTTTCTCATTCACAAAAGTTGATAAAGTCATAATTAGCCACTAGGCTCTTTGGAGTTACTATGACGTTTATCAGTACTATGTCGTAAGCTTACACTATGATCTTGTTAGTGTGGTGCGAGCTTGCTTCACAGTTTGTAGTGATTGTTTTCCAGTCACTGCAAAACAAGTGTGCTATAAGGTGTCACCACTGGAGAGAATAGTGTAGATTTAAGCTTAAGTAACGAGGATTACCTTACTAAGTTCACATAATTAGGTGAGTACGTGTGGCGTTCGTGTTAGGTTCGGGCACCGCT